TTTTTTTTTTTTTTTTTTTTTTTTTTTTGCAAAAGTTTATTCAGGCATCCCCTGGGGCTTTGATACAGAAAGCATGCTTTACAAATAATGAATTTCTTCATTTTACCAAATTCCTTTTTCTTTTTAAACTCTAGCTAGGCAGAGAACCTACCAAGTAATTAGGTCTTGGCTCCTCCCCAGGTTCACAGTGTTGTTCCTTCCACGAGTTTCCACTGTTTTCTCTTTTCTACTGTAAGTAGAAGGAGGAGAGAAAGTGTATCTACAACATTTAGGCTGAAATCTCTTAAGCCAAAAATGTGCAAGTTTGTCACTTACAGACTGTTTTCTGTTCAAATTAGAATATAATTCAACTGTTTCCTGCCACTTTTAACATGCATGCACATTCCTTTAGTTTTCCATAATCTACTTCCCATTTTGTGAGGCCTCATGAGGAATATGTTCACTATTCATATTTTGCTAGTGCTCTGCTACACATCTGCACACGCTCTCAATCATACACACTCAAACACACATGCACACATCCATGTATACATGCATGTGCCAATATGCACATTCTGCACTCTCACATACACACACACATTCACCCCACAACCATAGACATAAACACACAGACTCACATAGATGCACACCACACACACACATACTCACACATTTGTACACTCGCTCTTGCGCACATACACACACACACACACACACACACACACACACACACACTTCAAAGCAATCCAGCTTTTTTCTTTCTATGTATATGAGTGCACCATGTATGTGTTGGGTGTCCACAAAGGCCAGAAGAGCACACTGGATCCCTTGGAACTGGAGTTAGAGAAGGGTTGAGCCACTGTGTGGGTTCTAGGTTGTCTGCTAGAGCAACAAGTATTCTTTGTTGCTGAGACATTGCTCTAGCCCAAACATTTTTGTCTATCTTTGGCTAAAATTCTTTCAGCCTTTCCACATTGCCCATCCAAAAAATACATATAATATATATATATATATATATATATCATATAATATAATATATATTTGCTATAGCAGCATCCTATGTCCTGGTACCAGAATCTGATGGGATAGGGCAGCCCAGAATGGGTTGGTACCAGAATTGTGTGTTTTCTAAAGTTGCAGCAACAAGCTACCAATAACTACATGGATTCCATTTACTATGCAAATGGACACTCTTCATTTATGTTGTATTCTGGAGAAAATTTGTCTCAAATAATTGTATGACATTGACAGGATTCATTTAGATAGAGGAATCAAGTTACAATGAGACATAGAGTCTTAAAGTGGTATTGTAGTGCATATTATATGTATTCATAGGCACAATCAAGGAATTTGCATATTTTCTTCAGAGCAGCAGAAGGATTAAAGCATTAAGAAGCTATTGATGCAACACGAAGAGCTCACCATATGCATTCCTATGGTCTGGATAGATGACTGAATAAAGCCCACTAAAAATATGGCAAGAGGCTCATTCTCCACTTCAAAGAATTTGAGTTGACTGCAGGAGGGGATGCCAAGGCAGGAGCTGAGGAAAGCACCTCCACAGGGGCTCATGCTAACCATTATCCTCAAAGTTTGACACAGTTGTGTGCTTCCTTTCAGTAACATGACCAGTTGCGTCGTTAAGTGGAGCACGTGTCTGACATGGGTGTGTTTCAAGGACCGAAACTCTCAAGTATTGTGTGTCTGTGCCTGGTTCTACTATATAGCTTTATGCTTTATTAAACTGTCACAGAATACATACCAAGAAAGTCCTTGATGGATTTTGCTCAGTTTGTTTTGTTTTGTTTTTCCAGATGAACTTTGAGAAAGGCCTGTCAAGTCTGCTTTATGAAAAAATTCCTGTAAGGATTTTAATTGGGTTTGTGCTAACTAGATAATTTGAAGAAGCTGTCAGAATGCAATTTCATTCTTCCTATTCAGGTTTCTAGTACACTCATTTCAAGGATTTTCTATATTCGTTAGCAAATGTTTTATAAGTTTGCACGGGGTTTTATTACTAGTGATAAGTTTTATTGCTTTAGGCTATGGATATATACATATACATACGTATGTATATGGGATAGGGTCTCACTATGTATCTTAGTTGCCTGGCCTGGAATTCTCTATGTAGCACAGCAGACCTTTAACTCTCAGTCCTCCTGCCTTAGCTTCCCAAAGGCTGAGTTTTTGGTAACTTTAAGCAAAACTTTTTGGAAGAAACCACATGGTAAAGTTTCTTAATCTTTTAATACCAAAAAAAGCTTTGCAAATGCCTTAAATTTTGTACTGCCTTTAAATTCGAATGAACACAGAAATTTAGTTTTAAAATATTTCTTTGGAAGTACGAAGCCGTTATTACATCTTACCACGTTGTAGTTCAAATGAGAAATCAAATCACATGTTGAATACTGCTTCTCTAAGTCTGCCTCGTTTTTGTTTTATCTTTTAGACATTCTTAGAGCTTGTCTCTATTTTCCTGGATATGAGAAATTTCACACGATCTGTGTGGCCCCACACTTCCACACATACCCAGACAGTAGATTGGCTTTCCTTAAAAGAAATGAGAGCATCATCTCAAAATAAAAAGCAAAGGTCTTTGGGAAGGGCAATCTACTCTAGTGAAGGAAGAGGAAACAAATGTTGAAAGTAGCCAGAGGGCTCTGCAAAGCCACCTAGACTCCACTGTAGTGCTAGCAGGCAGCCACAGCACAGCAAGGTAATACTACATGTCATCTGAGACATTGCTTTCTTCAAGATTACGCTCTATCGAAGAGTTGAACCCAATTGTACATTTACCCAGGAAGAGGACACCTGGAGGAGAAGCTGAAGTGAAAAGAGGAAGTATGATTAAGAATCTAAGATGACCCTACACATGCGTACACGATGGACAGCCTTGACTTCATGTGGGTTCCCTAGCAAGGGGAGCAGGGGATGTCTCTAACAAGGACTCTCTTGCCTGCTTTTCCATCACTTCCCCCTGGTGAGGCTGCCTGGCCGGGCCACTGTGGTAGAGGATGCACTCAGTCCTGGTATGACTTAATGGGCTGAGAGGGGTTTGGGAAGTATAGTCTCCTTTTCTGAGGGAAGAGGGAAGGAGGGTGGGACCGGAGGAGAGGAGGGAGGGGCTCAAAGATTCTAAGATGCGTCCCCAAACAGTCACCTTCTTTTCAGAGAACACTTGCTGTCCTTCGCTGTGTATACTTGATGATCCCAGTGGTGGCCTAAGCTGGAAACAGCCCTTGCCTCCCAGTGAATTCAGAACCCAGGCAGAAGTCCAGGGTGCTTGCTGAGGTTCACCACGGACTCTGCTGAGCTTGTGCCATGTGGTTGTGTGTGGGTGCTACAAGTGGCTTTGTAGTGCATTTGTCCTCAAGTAGTTTGAGGCAACATGCTGGGAGATGAGAAACCTTGTAGCAATGGGTCTCTGTGAAACTTCAAAGTTCACAAAATCAAAGAAGCCAGAATGAAACAACCCAGTCAGGAAACTCCTGTCTACTGAGGCCACAGTGGACCCAGCTGGGTCTCCTTGCTGGACATTTCATCAAATACGGAGGCAAAATAAAGAACAGGGTTTATTTTAATTTTATCTTACTGAATTTACAATTTTTGTCATTTTGTTACAAGGGAACATGACTGAACAGGTAGGAAACGGATTCCCCATTATGGGTTCTCCGGATGGCCTCGGCAAGAATCATGGAGATGTCAATCACCTGGATTTTGGCGCAGTGCTTCATCTTGTCCTCCTGAGGTATGGTATTAGTGACCACTACCGCTTCAAAGCAGGCACCATTGATGCGAGGAATGGCCGGGCCAGAAAAGATGCCATGAGTCAAGATGGCGTAAACCCTGGTGGCTCCCTCCGAGAGAAGTTTGTCGGCCGCGTGGCAGATTGTACCACAGGTATCGGCCATGTCATCCACCAGGATAGCCACCCGATCCTTCACGTCGCCCACAAGCACCATGCGGTCCACCTCATTGGCTTTCTTCCGTTCTTTGTGAATCAGGGCAAAATCCACGTTCAAATGGTCCGCGATGGAAGTGACCCTCTTGGCCCCGCCGGCATCGGGTGAGACAATTGTGCAGTTTCTCCACTCGGAAATGTTCTCCCGTATCCACTTCAGGACGGCCGGCTCCGCGTACAAGTTGTCCACCGGGATGTCGAAAAAGCCCTGGATCTGAGAAGCGTGTAGGTCCATGGTGATGATGTGATCGGCGCCCGCTATGGACAGCATGTTCGCTACGAGCTTGGCAGAGATGGGGGCGCGGCTTTTGTCCTTCTTATCCTGCCGGGCGTAGGGGAAGCACGGGATGACCGCGGTCACCCTGCTGGCGGACGCGATCTTGCAGGCGTTGATCATGATCAACAGCTCCATCAGGCTGTCGTTGATCTCTCCACAGCCGCTCTGCACGATGTACACGTCCTCCCCGCGCACGCTCTCCCCGATTTCCACGCAGGTCTCCTGGTTGCTGAATTTCTTCGTCACCACCTTGCCGAGCTCCAGGCCCAGGCGCTCGGTGATCTTCTGAGATAAGTCCTGGTGGGAGCTGCCGCTGAAGATTTTGATGTTGGGCATCTTGGCCTGAGAGCTTAGACTCAACGCGTCTAGGCTTTTCTGCCTTCGACCGGAAACTGAACTGCAGACTCTAACAGTTTCCGGTCATTGCAAAGACATTACTGTCCCTTCCCTAACGGTTGTACTGATCTGACCGCGTCTTTTGACAACAAACAAACGAACAAAACCCGAACCAAGCTTGACTGGCATCTCTTGCACACTTTCAAATTAAGAAGACTTTATAAACCATGGGAATTTTCTTACTGTTATTATTATTAATTTTTGTTATTCTGAATTTCTCCAGACAGGGTTTCCCTGGGTAGCCCTGGCTTTCCTGGAACTAGTTCTGTAGACCAGGCTGGCCTCACACTCAAAAGATATATCAACTCCCTGAGTACTAGAATTAAAGGCGTGGGTCATGGCCTGGCTAATAATTTTTATTAACTTTTGGGGGGGATTTGAAAGCATTAAAACACAAAACAGGGTTCTAAGCAAGTTTAACAGGAAAGTTTCAGGCTGAAGGAAGTGCTGTTTAGTCCATTTCTTCAACAGAGTGAAAAGGTAAAAGGTTGGAAGATGGTGTAAACCGGAATCTATTCCAGAGCATGTGTAAGCGCCCCTGCCATATATAATGGTAGGGTTGCCGGATTAAGTGGATAAATATTCCCTGAGCAACTCCCATATATAGGTTGTCTTACCTCCTACAGAAGTATCAAAATCTATGGCCCAGCCAGGCTTGATGGTACACACCTGTAATCCCAGCACTCAGGAGAGCAGAGGCAGGCTGATCTCTGTGAGTTCAAGGCCAGCCTGGTCTACAAAGGGAGTCCAGGACAGCCAAGGCTACGCAGAGAAGCCCTGTCTTGAAAAACTAAAACCAACCAACCAAACAAACAAAAACCTGCAGCCCAAAGGCAACACGTATTCTGGCATAGCAGTAAGTACAGCTCAGCGTGTTTGTAGATGGCACCATCTCCATTGGGTTTTAAGGTGATGAGCGGCCAATTAACAGTCTAGATGTTTAAAGAAACAGTCTGGAATCCAGCAAGTAATCATCAATAAGTAAATTATCAAAACACTTATTAGATTCAACAAAGCCTGAGAAACACATTACCTGGTTATGAAATTTCATTTTTATATATTTAATGAGATATCATAAAGTTACATAAACAACCAATAATGCCCATGTTAAAATGTTACATCCAAATAGCATGCTAATGAACCAGGCACATCTCTCTTGACATGAAAATATCTCTTTTTCTTCAGTCATGCTCTTTATGGTTGACAATTCATGCCAACTGCTTTCTGTTCGTAACTCTTCATTCATGCTCTTCTCTTAAAAACAAGTCCAACAGAAACACCTGTGCCATGTAATTCATCCCAAATGAGCCACATACAGCGATTCGTACAGAAAACCCTGCAGCTTAATTTAGAAGCACTAAAAAGTACTTGCAGCCTCAATTAAATTGATTTTTCTTTTCGTGTTCTCAGTATGACACACACTTTCAGTTTTTAATGAAAAACAAAACAGATTTTTAAATAGATTTAATATTACCTAAATAGGACTGAATACTAATGTAAACATTTAAAACCCACAGTTGGTTGTATTTTTCTTGATTTGTTAAGTAGAAGCCATTTTGTCTTGCTGTTATTTTTGTTCCAAGATCTGGCTGTTGCTGTACCTCATAATTTCAGGGATTCATCTATGTCATAATATGTTAAGGATGAAAATGGCCTCAGAGACCATCCAGTTATGTTAATATCCCCATTTACAGCCAGGAAACTGAGTTACCAGAGAGGTTAGCTAGCTACCCATGATGTTTTGACCCACCAAAGCTTAGTGTGTACTAGGATATGGACTTCCTAGATTTTGGCCTTTACTGTTCTGTCATGTTAGGCCCCTTCTCTCCTTCACCCCCAAGTTTATTATGATGATAAGAATAATAAAAAAGTGTGAAGAAATACTTGCAAAACATTGCCTACTTACCAAGTAACTACAACAAAGAGCAATTATGAGCCCAAATGTCCGGTTGCTGAAACCAACCTCTAAAATTTTCATAAAGAAATGACCCACTAGTGTCATAGATTGGTATTCTGACATTTTTCTCACTTAGATATATCATACATGGATTTCACATTTGTTCTCCTCATTCTCTAGGGTGAGGGGACAACTGCCTTATCATTGGCTGTTCTGGAAACAATTACATGTAGGGATCCTGCATGTCGGATAGCACATTCTCTCTGTTGGGGTATTGCTTCTTAGTAAACTGTTCTACAACTGAGAATGATAAGGGGGAGGAAAGGTCTTATCTTTCTCCTTCCCGAAACAAGAGTGTTTAAAGGTCATCTCCACAGATCTGTGACAAGTGTTGTATTTTGAAGGTCTTTTGAGTCAATAACTAGAATGTACACATTCCTCAGCAATAGTGTCTTGCTTTACTGATTATTTCTTTACCCTTCACAATTCCAACATAAATAATTCAAAGACAGCTCTGATGCAGCTTGATCAGCTAAGGAGAAAAGAAATCCAGGCAGTCATTTCAGAAAGCGAGGAAAATGGTTGTATTTTAAGTTAAATAAATGCTTTCACTAAACACACTTACAGTTGACAAAATGCTAGATGTTTAGGTGGCAATTATACTTCTTTGATAAACTGTCAAATCTTGTCACAACACATGTTACAAACAAGGACAGATTTAGATGTCCTTTCTGACAGCTTTGTGTAGGTTGAGAATATGTGGCGGTTAATTTCAAGCAAGGAACATATTTTTCTTTCCAGCAGTTATCTTCTTGTTGATTAGGAAGACTTTCTTTGTGCCTTTAATCTTGCTCATTGACTCACAGTTCCAGATCACTATTGTAACACTGTCTTTACCCGTCTTTTTATTCATAATCATCCACTGAAATACTTGGAGAAAACAGTTTCCCACTGAGACTCACATTGGGTACAAATGCTTTAAAGTTTGTTTTGTGATTGTTTACAATTGGAGTTGACTGCTGTGTGTGTTTACCAAGCTTTTTGCTGGAAATCTGTCATCTTATACAATAGATGTGTAGGTAACAGCTGGGTATATAAGGCGGAGTGAAGAAAACAGGAGGACTGGAGGAAGTTTTGTCGTTCAGAAACATGGCTTTGGTTGTGAGTGTTATGTTAGACTCACGCAAGTGTTTCTGAAGTGCACTTTGGAGTTTCTTTTAAAAGTCTAGTAAACCAAACAATCCTAGTATGAAATAGTAATCATTGAATAACAATGGGATTCCAGGAGCTGAATAATATAGCATTGTGCTGACAGACAAAGCAATAGGTAAAGAGATTCTGTAGCTCCCACTTGCAAATAAGAAAATGTCTCTCTTATAACTATGTGAAACAATTTGCAGTGTTTCAAAGACTCTGGACTGATAGTTGCCTTTTTGTGTATAATCAAAAGTCTTTTGTAATCGAAAGTATGTATGTACTTTCACACAAGCAATAAAAAGTTACTATTAATGAACTTTGAGAACACACAACTTTCACTTATAATATTCAAATTTCTTTTAAAATTTTCTTTTGTAGCACTCAGGAGGCAGGGTTAGGTGGATCTCTGTGTGTTCAAGGTTGGCCTGGTCAACATAGCAAGTTCCAGGCCAAACCTGTCAAAAAAATAAACAGACAAACAAACAAACAAATAAGGTACTTTTTTGATGCTTTGAAGGGCAGCAAAGAAACATATTTGTGGTGGTTTAAATAAGAATGGCCTCTGTAGGCTTATATATTTGAATGCTTAGTCATGAGAGAGCAACATTATTTGAGAAGGAGAAGGATTAGGAGGTGTGGCCTTGTTGGAGAAAGTGTATCAATGGTGACAGGCTTTGTTTATGATTCATATTAAGATAAGTATGATCACCTTGCCTTTGGCAATTCAGTGATGCCACTTGGCCCCTGTTACTTTAGAACCCAATTAAATTGATTGCATTTAATTTATCCCACTAAACAACTTCTGTATCCCTGCAGACCCCATATTTGAGTTTGTCATCAGTATCAGAGGTATCAACATGGCTTCTCTTATATACACTGCCTGATCCATGAGATCTACCTTGTTGAAAAGCACATAAAAGAAGCGAATGATCTCCAGTGTCCTTCAGACTGTCTTCTTTAGATAGAATAACTATTTTGTGGTAGGCAGAGAAGCAGGGAACAGGGAAGACCAGACCCACAGGCTTATTAGAAGTATGAACTAAGAAATACCCCACAGTGTGTTTATAATTTCTGGTCAGTTAATAAACAGTAAATTGAAAATAAACCTTACTTTATTTTCTCCTCAGTATTAACATCTACTAAAAATAATGATTTTTCAAAAAAGCACAGAAGCCAGTTATCCATTCAAACAGTGAAAATTGTCTGCAGGGTGTTTGAGGGTCCTTGTGTATACAGCAATTTCAGAGAGATCAGGACAACTGGGAAGATTTGTAAGAACACAGATTCCCAGACTCCATCCAGGGCTTTCGAATCAGTGGTCCTTAGTTGGGATGCATGGAGAAGGAGTCTGTGTTGTGCTTCTACCCAGATGCCAGTTGCTGCCAGGACTATCAGCCTGTTGACCACAACTCTGAGAATCTGTTTCGCCCGAATTGTCAAGTTGTGCTGGTTACTTCTTTTTCACCTTGACATGTCTGAGGAATATTCTTTTGATTGCTGATTAGTGGAGGAGGGCCAAGCTCACTGCGGACAGTGTGACCCCTGGACAGATGTTTAGAAAAGAAAGACAGCTGAATGTGAGCCAGAAAGTAAGCCCGGAAGCAATACTCCTCTCTGTCTCTGCTTTGGCTTACCTCAAGGACAGAATGTCACCAGTAAGATGAAATGCATGTTTTTCTTCCTAACTTGGTTTTGTTCAGTGTTTCATCAAAGCAGTAGAAAGCAAACTAGACAGAAAGACATAGCTAGATGCTTTCAATGCATTTTCTTCTGTTTTATTTACAGTCATCAGTGTACTTTCCTTTGTCCTTGTTGGCCTTAGATGGCAATCTTCCTGCCTTAGCCTGCTGAGAGTAGGGATTGCAGAAATGAG